TGTGACGCTGGGCGTGACGGTGGGCGTAACAGTCGGGATACTGCTCATGGTGGCTGTTGATGTTACATTTGTGGGTATTTCAGTCCATGTAGTTGGTGTTGATATCTGCGTTGTTGTTTGTTCTGAAGTAATTGACGTGTGGATATGTGCAGTTTTGGGGGTTGTTTGTTTAGTAGTGCTTGGCTTGTATGTGTGTATTATTGGTGTTTCTGTTGTTGTGAATTCTGTGGATGTTATCATTGTCTTTGTAGACTGGAATGTTGTTGATGTTTGTTTTTTAGTTGTGTGAGGCAGTGTTGTTGTAGTGCACGGTACTGTTTTATTCCTGCAACACAGGAATCTGAGCATGTAGTTATAGCAGATTGGTGGTAATTGGTCTTTATTGTAGCATATCAACCCTTCTTCTGTGTTACACGTGATATGTTGCTCCAGGAGGGGATATGGTGTGTTAGGAAACCTTACTGCTCTGCATTCCACAGCTTTCCTGTTATCACAGACTTTGTATCCCTTTTTTCTAATGTTCTGAATTGTATCAAAATCTCCATCATCATATCCAGATCCCGGGTAGCTGGCATCATACCATATTGACCATTCACATTCTTCTTTTATACAAGGATGAGCCGTTGAAGGAGATTTGGACACAGGAGTTGTTTTTTCCGATGTGAATGTGCTTGTGGTTGTTCCTGTAGTAGTTGAAGGTTTGAATGTTGTGCTTTCAGAAGTTTTAGTTATTGGTATTGATGTTATTGTGGATGAAAAGGATGTAATTTCTGTAGTTGTAGATATTTGTGTAGAAGTTTCAGTCAATGGAGTAAATGTTACTGCTGTTGTTTGGCAGTGACTGTAGTCATCACAGCATAAAACCTTTATTTGATAATTAAGACATATATGCAGTTCTCCTTTTTGCTCCTCATTTCTGCAGATAAGCCCATAGGTTACATTGCAGTGAACTACTTGGCCAATTTCTCCAATAGATTTATGTGGATATTTCTCTGCTCTACATTGTATTTTTTCAGGGTTTCTGCAAATTGCTTTTCCAGCAGCTCTAATGTCATGGTAAGTTTCATAATCTCCCTTATTGTGCAGTGTTGGGGAATGGACATCATACCATTTGGACCATTTGCACTGAGGTTGACAAGGTGGTGTAGTGTATGTTGTCTCAGCGGAAGTACTTGTTGTTGTCTCAGGAGAGGTTTTTGAAGAAGTAGTTGTTGTTTCTGGAGTTGTGAGTGTGATTGGTGTAGATATGGTGACAGTTGTGGAAGTACATGGTACAAAAACACAACACTGGATTCTGATTTCATAGTTGTAGCACATTGTTGAAATTTGATCTTTGTTGTAACATATAAGTCCATTTGTTTTACTACATTCTAGTTTCTGGCCAAGTTCTTTCAGTGGTATGTTAGGCAATTTCTCTGCTCTGCATTGAACAGCCTTTGGAGCTTTACACACTTCATAACCTTTAGCTCTCAAATCATCAAATGTTTCAAAATCTCCACCATTGTAGCCAGGCTTTCGCTCATTTCCATCATACCATTCTGACCAGTGACAGACTTCATGAACACATACTGATGTAGTCGGTGACACTGTGAATAAAAGAAAAATATGATATAATTTAAAAATAAAATCCTGTAGATATGGCTTTGTTTTGTATGTTAAACAAACTTAACATTTTTCTAAAGGTCATTTGCTTGCAATTTGAGCCTATAATATATCATTTTAATTTGCTTCTAATTTCACATGAGCCAGAAGAGAGAATTCATCGTCTAGCACTCTGACTTAATGACACACTTGAAACCATCAATTCAAAGAGAATGTCAATTATCTCTTACCAAGTGCTGGGTACCAAAGTGTGAAAAATTAGCTCTGTAACAAAAATGTGCATAATGTACACAACCCAGCCTTTTTTTTTTTTTTCATTTTACTACATGTAATTGATTGGTTTGTATCTTGGATCTACATTTATTAATCCCTTCTGAGTGTCAAAGTTCTGATTCACACCTACTGGAAAACAATGGAAAGTAGAGCATTTATTTCCCAAGTCTATGCATGAGTCCTTTTCTTTTTCCACATGACGTGACTCCTCTGTGGTTTTGCTTCTCCACTTGAAGTTATAAGGTTATTAAGGAAGCATTATTAGTATCCTTACACTGTCATATTGCACATTAGCTCTGCTATGCAGAAACCATTTCCTAGCTGGAGAGCAGTCTTTGAACTTTTCATAGTTTGCATATTCAGTCAAGATGATGTCTCATTGCGAAATGGCTGAAAAAAAAGCTCTCCTCACAACTTCTGCGATCTCAAAACCTGCAGTTCTTCATTTTATAATAAACACGTTTCATTAAACATCATGTGGTCATAGTAAATAGACATTACCAACCTAAAGAATGCTGAGTAGGAATTCTATGATAATTTCAATATAATGCCAATATTTTAGCAGTCCACTTACTAATGTAAAGAAAAATATCATGAACCCCACCAGCAATTTTAATGAATGCAGTCATTTTAAAATTTAGTAGGAAAAACAATAAATGAATTATTCTTTCTGTAAAGATTATTTTAGGAGTTGTTATGAAGAGAAATTTTAATAGGAATTGCAGAGAAATAGTTACAACTATGTATGGAAAATCTGATACAGTTTTCTTATAATTTGGTATGAAAATAAGCAAAAGAATAATACGAAAGCAGTGTGCAGCAGTTTCCACTGGTGTTTCAGAAGTCTTTTTTTTTGGTATCAGTTTGATTAACAAATGCTGACTGAAACCAAATGCTATTGTGAAATGAGACTGTCATATATTTTGAGTTTGATTAATTAGTTAATTATGGTATAATTCAGCATCTACATTCACTTGATAAAGAATAGAATAAGTTCACATGGGCAATAGAGGATGTACCTGTCGGAGTAGTGGCAGGCGGTGTAGTGCTAAAGTGAAATAGTGTTGACATAGTAGGTGTCGTTGTGATTGGGCATTCAGTGATAGTCCTTTTAAGTTTTCCATTGGGACCACAAGTTGCAACAATACATCCTCCTGTGCCATCAGTAGTATTGTAGATCACATCATTATAGTTATATATCTTTCCCTCATAAATGCACTGGCATGCTGCAAAATCAAAAAAAAAATGTTTTGAGTAGGTGCCTGAAACACAGAGCAGAGAGTTTCACATGCATCCTCTTCAGAAAAAAACAACTTTGTTAACATACCGTATTCATCATATGTGCAATTTTTGCCACTAGTTGTGCATACACTGGAAAAGAAAAACAGAAATAATGAATATCAATATATTGGTTAATTATATCATTCAACTGTTTCAATTTTTCTGCCAATCTTTTGCTATTCATTGTATGTTTAAATGTAGAAAGACCCTATCTTTCTTTGCTTCAGGTATTCAGTTCTGCTGTACAAATTCAAGTTAGGTAGGATCATTCAAGTTTGGAGGCTGGGGAAAGATCGGGAGTTGATTTGAAGGAGGGTTGATTTGGCATCTCCTGGATAAGTTCACATATCCCCTTGAAAGGAAAGTGCAATAAATGTAGCATTTGAGAGAGGATCATTGTATTGCTGATGTTGAGGTTGTCCCATAGAGAATTTCCCCCAGATATCAAAAAAAATCACCTGCAAGAACATCGTCTGTTTTTCATGGGATTTATCTCTTATTTATTAAGAATTAATTCCCAGTATCTTAATTTACAGTGACTAAGGGTATCTGTACACTGAATAAACTTCAGTGAATTAACAGGTTACATTTAGTACAATTAATCACATAGATGATGCAGAGCAAAGTTGTTTATGAACTGCAATGCATTCTGTGAAATTTGTGGAACTGTTTAGATGGGCTTAGTGCAAAGCTCCTTGCTTACTCTAGCTTCACTGCTTGTAGTACTCAGCCTAGCTACTTTACATAAATCTCAGGACATGAGTTAGCTGTTTCTACCTTTGTCCTACTTGATGCAGGGCTTATCAGCATTTTTCCTAGCACAGACAGCTAAATTCATTATTTCTGACAGAATATGTAGAAATACTTACTGACTGTAGCAAATACGTAAGCACCAGTAGAACAAGAGAAACAAGCACTACACAACTAAAATTAATTGTTTCCTGAGTTCTAAATAATTTCACATAATGATTTTAGGGATAGTTTGATAAAAATTCTCTGACTACTGCTGTTACTACTATTATTAATTTATTCTTATTTAATAGTAATTATTATAATAATTTAATAATAATAATAATAATAAAATTTAAAAAACATGTCAATGAGGGTACAGAATGAGTACTAAATTAATCTCTCTACAGTAAAATGTTTCACCATGCCATCATTCACTTCCGTTAAACAAAGAAAATTAGACATTAATTAGTAGCTTATGGAGGGCCTAGCAAAATAAATAAATAAATAAAGCATGATGAGTTATGTTTGAACCACAACTTTAAACTCAATATTTAAAAATCTTGACTAATCCTACCATGATTTACAGTTCTCCTCTGAAGGCATCTGCATTCCTGGCTTGTATCGTTTTCCATTATCATCATAACAACCACAATGTGAAACACAGGTCATGCTTTCTTCATCAAAATAGGGTGTTTTGTTTGGACAGTGTGGATAGCAGCCTGCAAAAATATGAGTTATATTGATACTAGGCCTTTCATACGTAGAAGTAACTCTACACTCTGCCAATATGTTTTCTCCCAAATGATGAGACAAATGTCACCCTCTATTACTGCTATTCCATCAATTGCATGTTGAGCTTGGGAGCGTTTTTCTCATATTCATTCATAGACATTTCGTGTATTGGTTAATATGATTTTTTTCATTATATTCCATTTAATCTTTTTTTTTTTAATAAGAAGAATGAGATATGCATAATTATATTTACCTTCCAAACCTCTCAGCTCATGAAGGCATTTCCCACTAGGGTTGTTGCAGGTCTTCATACAAGGGGCTCCACATGGTTTGTAATGCCATTCACATTCCCCTTGTGGATTGTAGTAATCACAGAACAAAGCTACAGGAAGGAAAAATGGCAGAAAGATACACTTGATTTTTTTGTTCTGAGGTCCTTCATTGTTTGCTGGGTGAAAATCCCATGTCATTAGCATGTTCAAGTAAGAAAGAGGTGAACAGTGTGTCTCATTTCTAATTTGATTATTAGACCTTGATCATCCTTTGAGACTAATGTTATAAAGCATCAGAGTTACATATGAAGCATTTAATTATTGAATTTAGCTAATATGCATTAATATTTGTAAATAAATATCCATGTATATTAATTAAAATCAGATGTAGACAGGCAGGAGTACAACATACTATAATAATTTTACAGTAGCGCATCATGATCAACAAATAAATAGCAACAGCACCACTAATACAGGTACTAGTGTATGGTTTCATTTTAGTAAAATAGATTGGCTTTCCCTGATTTACCCAACTTGCTTTCCATTACTTTGCTGCATCTAGAAAATACCAATGGCGCCTCTCTACTTCCTACTTGTTTTTCTTTTTGTCAATATTTTCTTTCTCTTTGTCCCCCTGCTTCAGAAAGCATTGTGGTGAGACTCACGACAAATGGAAGGGGTTCGCCATGAAATGCAGATGTCCAACTCATTGCATGCTTGAGCATAGGCAGCTACTGCTGTACAGAAGCATTCACAGTCTCCTCCAGTGTCACAGGCACAAGCATCATTCACACATGCTTGGTAATACTCATTTGGTTCAACCTGTTGGAGAAAAAAGATCTGAGTTCTATTTCATGCAATTTACCTCTTTTTTGAAAAGGCATTTTCTCTTCTAAAATAAACAAGTAAAATACTTTGAATTAACAACTCTGGGAGTTGTTAATTAACAACATATGGGAGAGAAAGGAGAGAAATGAAGAAACTAGGAGGTTATTTTGAAAAAGCAGTTTTGAAAAATGTAAAATAAAACTATTAATAAGTCCTAACCCTAAGAGCTATCTGATGTTAAAGACACTTTCACAGAAATAAATGTTACTTTAATAGATTCTAGCATACAATCATAAGGCATCTGTTTTAATACAAAATGATAAAAATCACAAAGGCTCTGAGATTTATCTATGATTGTCACTCCTAAAGACAAGTGAGATGATAGTATTTCTTCCACTATCATTTTTTTAGGGGTAGAAGTTTATGTCATAGCTGAGGAAGTGCAGATGAATATCTATTATTTCTATGTAGTTTCCTTGGAACTTCTTACAGCTTCATGTGCTAATTTAACTCCTCACGTATTGTACAGCTATCCCACTTAAAAGCTAATGTAAGCTCTGACTCAAGAGAACTTCAGAGTGAAAATCTGTCATACCTGTGAGTGACACTTTGCAAATACTTCACTGGTGATGATGCTGCATTGCTTCTGTGCCCATGAGCTCCTGTAAGGGTTCGCAGCACAGGGATCCTTGGTACGATTAGCATTTGGGCAAGTGGAAGACACTTTCCAGCTGTTGCCAAACTCTAGCACATTCCCTACCACTGACTGACTGCGAGTAGTGAAATCATTGTTCCCGTTGCCATCATAGTTTCCACAGAGGCCACAGACATGTCCCTGCATGGGTGTAAGCAGAAAAGGATGGAGATCAGTAACATGTAGCATCTCATTAGCTGAGAGTAACAGACCTCAGGATGAATCTCATTTAGGAAGGTCTCTTTAGTAATAGTAGAGGACAGCCTCTTAAAACGAGTT